TGGTCACCTGCTTTTTCGGAAACACTAGACATGTCGCAACCGTACCACTAGAACAACGCAGAACAGTCAATTCTGAGTGGTACACAACGATTTGTTTGCCAGCTGTCTTCCAAGAAATCAGGAAAACCAACCGCCGAAGACCAATCACTCTTCACCACGACAATGCGAGCTCTCACACATCGGCTCAAACAACTGCATTTTTGAGCACCCAAAACATCGATTTGATGAGTCATCGGCCCTATAGTCCTGACTTGGCACCGAATGACTCTTTTTTATTCCCGTACGTAAAAAACAAACTGGGAGGTAAACGTTTTTCGACACCTGAAGAAGCGGTTGCTGCATTCAGAATGCATATTTTGGAGATACCGCAGAGTGGCAAAAGTGCTTCGACAATTGGTTCAAACGCATGCAAAAGTGTATATATCTTCATGGTGAATATTTTGAAAAACAATAAAGTGATTTTCGATGATTTTTTTCTCTAATCCTGAAATATAAAAGGCTACCGTCGTATTCTTATTAGTGGACCACCGTCTCGGGTTTTCGAAATGGCTTAAAAAATCAACGATGACCTACATGACCTAGTCTTTCCTCTTGGTCGTCTTCAAAGGGGCTACTGCTAAACTCCAATAAATCTCAGTGTCTTGTAATCGGCTCCAGAAAACTCCCTAAAAAGTTATCACTTTCCGCTCTCCCTGATATTTGCATAAATGGAACTCCTCTACCGTGGTGTAATGACGTGAAAAATTTAGGTGTGCATATGGATGATTCTCTAAACTGGAATGTTCAAATTGATAAAATCTGTCAAAAAGTGTTCGCGTCCCTGCATGTTTTGAAACGTATGGGAACTCTTTTACCCACAAAAGCTCGTCAGATCTTGGTACAATCCCTCCTTATGCTTCATTTTGATTACTGCGATTTCTTTTTGACTGACATAAATTTAAAACAGCAACGTAAATTACAAGTAGCTCAAAACGCATGCATTCGTTTTATTTCGGCCTGAAAAAATACGATCATATTTTTACTTTTTACGCGGATTCAAAAATTCTTACCGTTGATTAAAGGCGTTTACTTCACTGCCTTCTTCTTCTCTACAATACTTTAAACACCGCTCATCATACCACCCTCTCACAACGATTTCAGATTATGAAAGTACATCGTGCCCGAGCGTCGCGCCTTATCTGTATTCTTCACCACAATACTTCTACTTTTAACAAATCATTCACTGTTACTGCCATTCGTGCTTGGAACAATCTCTTCCTCCGCTATAAAAAATAGTTGTATGTCATCCTCTGTCCTTTCTCTCTTTCTCTTCCTCTCTCCCCTCTTTCTTGCTTTCTCTCCTTCTCTCTTACTTTCTTTCTTTCTCTCTCTCCCTCTCTCTTTAGATCACTAAAATCCATTGTTTTTTTGTTCCCTTCCTCTCTTACTTTTAATTTTCATTCTAGGTTATTTAAATCTTTCTTACCTCTCAATTTAATCCTATTATTTAACTTTAAAAATTGATCAAATATCTAAGACACAAAATCTTCGTGTCTCTTTTTATTTTAATTTTACACTTACCCTCATTTAGTCACATTTACATTATTAAATAATTTTAACACTCTGTAATCTACCTATTTGTCATTAAAACCTACTTGTACACTCCCAATCGCTTTTAAATATCCCATAGAGAACCAACCTCTCAACCCATACATCACTTTTATTACAGAACAAAAATGTGTGCATACCTGTGTTATGAGTACGTGATTTTGCATTTGTGCATTTGCTCATTTGTGCAACTCATTTGTGTGCATTTGCCCACATGTGCTAGTATTCAAAATATAATTCATGTGATTTTAATTTTTGTCTAGATGTGTTTTACTAATTTGCAATCTTTCAGTTTCAGTTCATCTTTTCTTACAACTTCCACCATTGTGACATGGTCACGGCTAGCTATTTGGACTTGTCACACTCTCTTGCCAGCTACCATCTATCGTCTCCCAAAGTACATTTAAAAAAATTTCGAGTTATCTAAAAATCGAGTTATTTAAAAATATTAAGTAACAGTAAACCTTGTCCTAAACGCAATTTTCTTTGAAATATTGGGAACCGTTATTTAAAAAATGGGATTTTAGCGCTTCTGTATATTCGAAATATGAATTCCTTATCACAGAAAACTATTGAGTTTTCTAAAAACTTCATAAGACGTCAAATCAAGCACTTCCAGTCACAAATGCAATAGTATTTACAAATCGCTTGAAATGTGCATATTCAATGCATGAGGTATCTTTAAAAATGTACAGGTGTGTAATTGTAGAAAATAGAAGTGAATACAGCAAAATTAATTATATATCATCTTAAGGAGAACATTTAGCACTATCTGTTTGAAAACTTGGAAGAAAAAATTGGAGCCGTTTTTCAGAAAATGGCGTTTACCGTTTCTGAAAATGCGGGATTTTGAGCTAATTTTCACGGAAAACTTGAGTGCACACTGTTGAGTTTGGTGAAGTACACACGGGAAAATACATCTCACATTATTTAAAGCACATGTACTTATAAATGCATTAATGTAAAGAAATTTCCGCCAATATAAATATAAACGACGTGAGAGTAAAGTCCCCAAAAGTACATTTGTTGGTTTTTTAAATATATATATATATATATATATATATATATATATATATATATATAGCAATATGTCATTTATGACATCTGATAGAGTGCATCTAGCTCTATCCCTACCAAAAGTAAAAAGAAAAAAATTGGAGCCGTTTGTGAGAAAATTTCGTTTTTGTCGTTTTGCACGTATTGCACGCAATTTTGCACGAAAACTACAAGGATTTTCAAAAAGTGTACGTGACCATCATGAAAGAACTCACTATGTATAACAAATTGTATTTGAAGGAAAAACCTCTTTAATTTTGTAGTTGAAGGAAGACACAAAAAATATACTTTTGAAATTTTCAAAAATTCAGAGAATACCGTGAAAATTGGACCTATGCTTTTATAATTGTATGTTACTCTATTCTTTCAAGAAATTTAAAGAAAAAATTTGGAGCCATTTTTGAGAACATTATGAAATTGTCCGAAGATTGAAGATTGATGTAAAGCACCCCCAAATTTTGAAGAATGTTTCTCAACATCTCAAAGTTTCGACTCGAACCAGATGAACAAGGGTTTCTTCAATTTGGCAAAATCCCCACGCATAGTTTAGCGGCTAGTAGTGTTCACAGACACCAGATGGACAGACGGATAGAGAGACGGAGAGACAGACGGACGTTTTGAAAAATAACAATTGTTCGGTATCTGATGACCCCAAAACCCGTTGAAATCTCGAAATCGATTTTCCGCAGCATTACCTAACTTTCCCTATACTACGTATATTACTCCGTATAGACACGTATACGGAAAATTAAAATTGGAGGCACTTGAATTAACAGCTTCCGTCGCGCATACGGAGAATGGTCCCAAGTTCCTTTGGTTTTGTACAAAAAAAGAATGTACGCAAATGGTACTAATGTTTTTGTCGTATTTTCAATATGCCATTTATCAATGTCAAAATTTTGTTCGTGCTTCAGTAACTTCCTTTTTGTACTCGTTACATATATAACTATTGTGGCCTTGTATAATACAAATAAAAACTTTCAACATGAAAGTACCAACCGGAGGCGACACGTCAGGTAATAGTAGATAAAATAATTACAATAGCTTTTGTAGCCTAATCGTGAACAGTTGGGTTCCAAGGTTATGCTTGTTGTTACCCTATCCGCCCAGTCCATGTCACTACCTTCGCTACGATAGTTTAGGAAACACGAAAATTTTGTAGGTTTTGGTGGTTCTTCATTTAAAATGTATTTTTTTCTTACCAGTTGACGCACAGGAAGTCTTGTGGACCTTTGATATGTGTGGTGGGGTCGAGGGGCAGGGGAATCGGCATTATGCCTTTTTCTATTAGCCCATCTCTCATACTTTAGGGTGAAATGGTAATTTTACTACTTCTGCGCTGTATTTTGATACAAAATTTCTTGTACAGCATGTCTCACAAGGGAATGTCGCGATGTGACATGTTGACACCTGTCGCTAAGGCAGTACTGCCAATGCCGTGTAGGACCATTAGATGGCGGGTTCGGGTCCTGCCTCGGATGTGGGTGAATTTGTGAATGTCTGTGTGTGCCTCCTTTGACCCCTCACTATCATCATCATTTGATATTCCCTATCCCTAGGGCTAAAAAATCGTATCCAACTACATGCTGATCCTCTAATAAAGTGACATGCACCTGCCACCGGGATAATGGAACTGAGCCCTGGTAAATGCAGGGTGCATGCACGCGTGGTCCAAGTCGGCCTATTCGCGGGAGAAAAAAACGAAGAGTCAACTGAAATAATGTGATGCAAGAATACGGAATTAGCTTGTATAAGGCTCGCGATGAACTGCAGAAAAGACAAAGGCATGATCCTAGAGAGAGGTTTCAAAAGAATTTTATGTGACCGCGCAGACAAAATATTGATAAGTGAAATAACTTCAAGATATTCGCATCGTGCGAACGCTCACGCAGTCTCGTGTCGCAACGAAATATAACAAAAACCTTTTTTAATCATTTAACAACTATTTTCAATAGGTTTTCCATGCAAAAGAAAGTTTTTATATTTATGTACGTAAAAGGTTTCTGGAACAGCTGTATGTATATGCATGTCGACAAATTTCAGTGTATTAAAATGATGTTGACATTTAGCATTTCTGGAATTTAACGTTTATGGAATATTTCTCTCACCCCAAATCTCGAGTGGGTAGTTTAGCCTCTCACAATCTACCCATCATATTATCCGCCGCGCCTGCATCCATCTATGGTAAAAAATATTTTTTTCATAGCAAGATCCCTAAAAAACGTATTTTCCAAAGCAATGCACACTAAAATATTTTACTTATTCCAGTAAGTTTCCTCTAAACTACATATAGCCGAGAAAAAGTAAAAATTGTTGGAAAGTAAAAATGATTTTTTTCTCAACCTTTGCATACGTACCTTTTGTATCGTTAAAGACTTTACATTCCATGTAGATTTCATTCAGTGTTTGATTCCATGGTAAATTACAACAAAACTGTAAAGCCAAAAATGATAATGTAGTGAAAAATTCTCTCTTCCATGTGACATATACCTCGTTATTTTACAAATAATATTCAAATAACCATTATTTATAAATAACGACTAGAGGTAATACTACATTACACCCAATCACAATAGAAATAAAAGCCGTTTTGAGTTATTCACAGCCGGAAACCCTTATTTTTGTTTATTCTAATATTATTTATATATCTAATATCGAAATCGTATTTAAAATATTAATTTTAACTAAATGCCACACTGCCTTATATGTATTACAAAAACCTGAAAAGTTTATCTAAATTCAAAAGAAGCTTTTTTATAATCTCCTACAGTTTTTAGGTGATATAAAACCCCGGTCAATTATTTTTATAACTATTCTCTGTCATTGCGGTCTAATTTTCTGCACCAGCAAAATCTGAAGAATTCTATAGAATTTTCACTGAAAGGTACAGTAATCGGGCATCATTTTGGGTATTTTGTTGAATTCATTATCGACTTGTCTGTGTATATAATCTTCTATTGTACGATTTTTTTTGTTTTTTGTACAAATTATTTTTTATTCAAATCAGAATGAAATTTACTAAAAACCGTAAAATTTCGTACTAAATGAATCTTGATTCATTTAGGAATTGAAGATGTGGGTCGGAGGGACCTATTGAAGAGCGGAGGTGGCGGAACAGAGAGAGGGGTGCATGACAGGATGGCTGCCGGGCATCTCAGGAATGGGATTAAATTAATTTTATTTTATGCTACAAACATTATTTCCTTTTCAAGACCAAGAAGTACATAAAATGTGCGTCGTGAACCAGATTTTTGACACTCGTAAGTTTTAGATTTTTTAATTTTTCCATTTTTTCATTAAAATCTTATTAAAATACTTGAATATATTAAAATTTTTCATATTTTTATCCCAAAATTTTCTCCTTTTTTACATTGAGATCTATTTCAGACCTCTAGACCACATATTTCAAAATACATAATTATTTACATTTCGTACATCATTTTAACAAAATATAACAAAATATCATTTTAACATATGTTGAATAAAATTCAACGTTAGGCTATATTTTGAAATATTAATAATTTTAGAACTCTCGACCACATATTAGTAAATTTTACCATTGCATACATCATTTTACACATTCTATCATGTTAGAAGATTAATTCAGGTTCACCCTCTGTTATAAATCCTTTATATTCTAATCTCAAATTTTTAGTTTTTAAAAGATTTTTATATAGTTTTGTTTTGTACAATTAGCATATCGATTAGGAAAAAATTACACTAATCATTTGACCTTGTTTATCAGTTTTTAGATCAAAACCACTCTATTATCTTTCCATATTCTGTATTTACGTTTCTTATATCAGGAATAGAATATTGACAATCTTCAACATTTCAGTAATTTTTTTCTGAATTTTATCATGATATGTAGCTTTGTTCAGTTTCGTTACCAACGTCCATTTAGAAGGAAGTTATAAATAATTATTCATTTCGAAAAGGACGTATCGAAACTGAACCAAGCTATATATCATGTTAATATTCATAAAAATAACTGAATTAGTGGAAGATCACGAATACCCTATTGCTGATATAAGAAAAGTGAAATTATTGAATGAAAATATTATCTCATGTAAATATTATCAAATGAAACTATGGTCCTGAAATTATTGAATAAAACTACGGTCTAAGAATTATTGAATGTAAATATTATCTAGAAATTATTGAATGAAAATATGATTTGGGATATTATAGCATAATAAGACTGGTTGAACATATTAGCATATGCTTTGTATATTGTTCATATGGTAGTAGCTACTAGTGAATTAGCAAAGGAAAACTAGCAAAATAAGGATATAATTCATAAATGGTGGCGCAATTCTTAAATTTCAAGAATATTATATTACCATTAGATGGAGAGTTAATTAGTGATTCATTAATTTTATTGAATAAATCGCGAAGTGATGTGCATGATACTCATTTTAAAACTTCTGCGCAAATATGGAATTCAATCAAAAGGTATTATAGTAATGTAGATCAGGCAATATTAGATTTAACTGAATCAGCATTTGAAATATGGTCATCTCATACAAATTTAAATTTTGAGAGAGATTTTTTACATCCTGATTTAATTATATGGAATAAATGGTGAACACCAGTGTCATCATGATCAACGTATGTGTTTCATTAAATTTGTTGGAAAAGGTGATATATTAGTACATGCTAAATTTCGTAATGTAAATAATTCTCGATTACTAATCCGTATTGATATAGATGAAGATTGGTGTAAATGAAGATTGGCCATAAATGTTTTTTGATGATTTTGAAATTTTTTATAGTTGTATACAAGTTTTACATCATATTTTTTGCACGTTTTCCATTTGTTTGCCAGATACGATTATTCATACGTTTAGAAAAATCTATTTAGAAATCATTATCTGATTGTTGTCTCAGTGCTGTATTTTTATCAATATATGATTGTAACCACACGTTTTGATCATAGAATATATTTGATAAATTTTTGACAATTATACCTTGTTCCATAACAAATTTTAACATTATGCAATCACTAACATAATTTATTTTTATATTTTATTGTGTTCGCAAGTTTCATATCTTTTGATATATTCCGTATTCCTTTGTTTACAATATCTTGTTGAAGTTTGATAGTTCATTGATATTTCAAATATAATGATCAGAACGTATCGGCATACTTCTAAATTGATCATCTAAATGAACTAGAATGTTTAAATTTACTTCAGATGTATATTGTAACGTACTAGCGATCGAACCTCGTGGTAGCTATTTGGGGACGGGCAGAAAGAGATATAAGGACCTATTGCAGCAGTAAGGCAGGTTCAGCACCTGTAAGGACTTAAGTGTTCGAGTGTCACGGAAACTAGGCTTTGTGCACGCTTGAAATTTAGGAGTGGCGGATTCCACGAATAAAACCGATCATTTTTCGGGTTTGGATCGCTCCCAGGAGATAATAAATCTATCAGAGCTAGTGAGTAAAGTGTAGATAATTCAACAGTACATAATTGTTTTACTTGTAAAGAAATAATTGTACATATGGAACCTCTTGTATGGGTTGCCTATGAGTACCAAAGACGTCATAATATCCTTTATATCCACTATAAGGTAAATTCAAAATATTGTCGATGACTATTTTTGTTTTTTTATGCACATTGGTAATAGGTGTCCTTATGGATGACCGTGTAAATTCTTAGTCTAATTATATTTTATATTTTAGATGTTTTTACTATTGTAGATTCCTACTTTTTAAGCATTTTCCTTTGATATTTCATAGTTTATTGAGCTTTTGGCCATAGTAATAACAATTATTTGCTAATGCATATCTATTTGGAACCTTAGATATACCACCACATTTTACTTTTTCATATAATTCATATAAATCTTGATCAACAATAAGATCTAGTTTCTGTCCTGTGAGTTTTCAAAATGTATGATCAGCTAATAGTGGCGCTGATACATAATATACAGGATCTAAGCAATAACATATTTCTCTAAAATTATTAAATACATTAAGAAGTTAAGAGAGAATAATAGATAATTTAATGTTATATAAATCGTGAGAATCTCAAAAATATTTAATTTTAAAATGTTCATACACTTGTTTTACTAATTTTAAATCTACTCGTTTTATTATTTAAAACAAATTTCCAATATAATTCGTCAAATGTTAATTGTTGTTGACATTTATCTAAATGTACCTTAATTATCAACCCATTCATAAGTATAATACCCTTTTTGTAATACCTAATGTATATCTTTATTTTGGAACATGTTACATAGATTATTAAATTTTTTATAATCAATTGGTTGAGAAACTTGCTGTTACATGATGCATAATGTTTTAATATATAATTTTCGTCGCTAAGTTGAAATTTGACATCCCTAGATTGCGAATTCACCCAATCTTACATGTTCTTCAATAAATGCCTGCATTAATTCATCAATATTGTAAGTTTGTTTCAAATATTGTTTAATCAATTCATAATAATCATATTCATCCTGATATTCACGTATTAAATTAGATTTAACAGAAAAATAGGTTGGTGTTCATGAACATGAATTCATAACTTTTTGTTGAAATTTCTTTAAAATACATACAACACAGACATCAGGATAAAATTGCTCAGTACCCAAATATTTTACTCTCTTATATGATATTTACGCATTATAATACTTATTTTATCACGAATACATTGATCAATATGTTCATGTAAAGCCTCTTCTTTATCATAACGTTTATTACACAAAAACAGTAATGTTTTAAATTCATACGATGAACACTTACACTTTATATACTTACACAATTATCCTTAAACATCAATATACTGATAATATTTTCTAATTTTTTATAATTTTCATTATAATAATTTAATTCGATACAAGAATATTTAATTTGATGTTCATTAATAGATACTTTTAACAATTCATATATTTTGAAATTCAATAATGTTTAAAGTTTCATATTTTGACATTTGATACAGATAGGCTATATCAACATGAATAGATGCTGAAAATAATATACTTTATATACCATAGTAAAAACATCTTTTTTATCTCTTTGTTTTTCACACTTAAACTTATTTTTTTACGTTTTAGCAAATCTGGTAGTGAAATATCATATTTTGTTTAAAAAATCATATTTTCAGATTGAAAATCAACATTAGATGCTTTATCAAATCGATATTTAGTATTTTTGTACTATAATTATCAACTTAAATAAAATCTCTTAAATAATAAATTGAATAATTTCTTATTCTGATTGTTGATCATAAATAGTATGCTGATGAGATAGAAAAAGGTTTTTCAAATGTTTTTTTTTTCTCCAGATTATTGTCATTCTTCATATTGAACTGATGGTTATAATGACACTTGAACATGAGTATATTTATTGTTAATAATTTTTAATTCAACATATGATGCTATTATCTTTGAAAAATTTGCTACGGCATGATTGTTATTGT